GAGCTGCCTTATCAACTATGCAATTTGCACATTCAATCAAGTGAAGGAATCTTTTGATTCCAGTGCCATCTTAACGGTCATAAGAGCAAACCTCCTAGAACAATTTCAAGATTTAGCTTCCATGGATACATAGTATTATAGAGCTTGTGCAACAGTCATTCATGTTATGTCCCCTTTGAGTACTGCTTGATTTACCAACACAGTGATATTTAGGTCGATACCTTTTACGATGATATCCACGAGTTGTTCTTACCCAAAAACATGGTGAGGGCATGCTCTAAGAAGCCATTGGAATTGTTGGCAAGCCTCATACATATATTCAGAAGTACTCTACCTAAAGTGAGAAAAATAGTCTAAGATTGTCAGTTCTCCATGGAAGGAAGAAGTCTTCAATGAAAACTCTAACCAGATCGTGCCACGGGCGGAAGGTACGTAGAGGTTGGTGATTTAACTAGCTATTTGCTTTCCCTCCGATGGATAAAAGGAAAAAGACATAGCCTGCAAAATCACATATTTCCATAACATATGTTCAACATGATTTTTGTCATCTCACCCTTCAAAACGTCTAGCATTCTGGACCATGTGAATTGTGGAAGTCGGTGACTCAAAATTAGGGATAGTAATTCGGGATAGGATTGTTGGAATCGTTGTTTGCAACTTGAGATTTAGTATACTCGTATAGAGTTTGAGCAACCATGCTTCTTAGAGTTGGTGGTTCATAAGGGGTTTTTTTACGCTCCGCTTCTCAATACTAATTGAAAAATGCATTAAGGCAAACATATGTGAGTTTTTTTCTTCTCTCTTAAAGGTCTCTTTTTAGATACTGATGTCCTAGATTAAGAAGAATCAGAGGTTCCACTATGATAAACACGAACTTGGGCTGGCCGTTTTAACTTTTACTTATGGTTAATCTCTTGGTTCTTGATGGCCTCATACACATGAGCTACCCTATAGAAACTGTCAAGTCGGAAGTCTCTATGAAATGGTGTTAGAATCGCCAAAATTTTTCAAAAATCGGCAATAAGACTCTGACTACAACCTATAAAACATAAAATTACACGAAAAGAAGAACAAAAAGAGACAGAATACTAACATAAATGAAAATAAATACGAAAGGACTAAAAAGATGAAAAAACACACAAAATTAAAATAACAAATGAAAAACAAAAATAAAAAGAAAGACAAAGACAAATAACATGTACCTTACTCCCTTTCAGAAAGAATCATGAAACTCCCAGCCAACGGTGCCAAAATTTGATTAACTATAGAATAGGAGTTGAATTTACCTAGTAGGTAACCTAGATCATTTTTTTCCTCGTGGCCTTTCACATACCCCTCTTAGTCAGCAATGGATCTGTTCGTGGGTTTATAAATGAACTACGGGGATAGAGGTTCCCCTTGGTTTTTCAAAAACCCAAAACAAAATTAAATAATAGACTGGACGAGGGAAAATAGAAGGAAAAGGTGTTGCATATGCAAAATCCCCCTAGAGTTTCCTCAAACTCTCTCTAACGTGATGTGGAAGTATACATTCGTGGCTGAGAGAATCCACACGGATGTCTCCACTCAAAATGCTTCTATATCCGATCATCTTCTGTGGATGTGCCCTTTAGAGATGGACTAGGGAGACACGTAAATCACCGAATGATTCAATTTCTATATCACGTAGCAAAGGTTACTGTTAGACATGTATTGCACATGATGCACAAAATCATAAGGGCTTCCTTCTCCCAATCCACTCAATATAATCGCAAGAAAATAAATCTAATAAAAATAATAAAATGAACTAAAAAAATAAAACACATATATAATGAAGAATAGACCTTTACATAGTCTAAGCAACATTTATGGTTCACCAATCTATACAACTAACGAACGGGCCACTCATTGGGATTGAACCAAATGAGTACATCATTCAAAACAACGAGATACATAAGATCCTAAAAAGGAGACTTAAAGAGGGGGGGGGGGGGGGGGAGTGGCACCTAAGGTGCATTATGGGTGCCATTATGCCCTAAAGCCCACTACTTGCTGTCTAGAACCATTGAGTTGCTTTGTCGACAGAGAAACCCCTATATATGACTTGATGTTCAAATGTTGGTTGAGAGGGCTATATAGCCTCTTCTGTCATTTTATGAGAGATTTAATAGAAAGGAAAGTCTTCTGGTCGCATCTCTCTACCATATCCAGCTTAGCCTCCAAGTGAAGAATAACTATGCAAAACTGGGATGGTCTAGGTCGAAAATCAGCGACTGAGGTGGCAAATTGGTCTATGGTTGGCTAAATGGGCAGCCATTTTTTGGACTTCCCTTCCAGCAGCTGGACCTTGAAGTCTCTAGCTCGTACAAGGTGTCCACTTGGAAACTTTGGCATGAAAATGCATGAAAAACTACCTGAAGGGAGTAAAAAGAATCAAAGCACTCATATTAACTACTAAACACACCTTTGAGAAACTATCAAGCAATTCTAAATCATTATGATTATAAATATGTGAACTTCAGCACTGAAAATGACACCCCGCTGGAGTGAAGTTCGAATTCGATCGAGTAGGTGCCTTTCTCTTAAAATCCTTCCTCTTCTAGTGACTCCCCAATCATATCTACGAACATCCATATCCTCAAATAATTGTTATATGTGAGGAGGAGTCTTGTTGAGCAAATCTACTTGGCAAAAGCAATCAATGAGCATGCGGTCTTTCTTGGAAGAGTCCATTGTAGAAGGTACCGACCTTGAAGTGGTGTCAAATCCATGGTGAGGACCATTGTCCCATCATCTTAATGGGAAAAGTGAGTGATGGCTTTTCGAAGCTTGGCTATCTTTGAAGGTAGGAAGTAACGGTCCGTGAATTTCTTCATTAAATTCTTCCAAGAAGTGATAGAGAGTGTTTCTTGGTTGTGAGCCACATATGTATTTGTCCATTCAAGGAGTAGGGAAACAATCTCAACCAGAGTGCTTCTTGTCCAAAAAGCGGTTGATATGATCTCTTGGTGCTTCATGGTTGAGACCGGAGAATTGGATGTTGTTTTGAATCCTCGAGATGACACTCATCTTAATCTCAAAGTTTCTGGATGTAATAGGATAATGTCGAATGTTTGGTTGTATATCTTCGACCCCTGGGTGAAAAGCACCCCATGGTCCGCTCCGGTTCACCCTCTTATTGATTTTCATCTACTGTATCTTCAACTTCGACTCCTTCTTCTTCTGGAGGGTTATGAGTTGCTAACCTCTCTGGAGATTCTCTAAATTCTCTTTCAGAAAGGATTCAAAGAGTCCAGTTGATGTCGTGGTCGATCGGTTGCAAATTCTCCGGATGATTCAATGTCATAAACTACTTATAGCACAACTCAAACAACACAACCATGAAAAGCAAAATCAAAATGAAGCAAAAAATGCTAAAGTAACAATAGTCCACTTTCCTAGGAACTTAGCCGTGTTCTCCGTCAACGGTGCCAAAAACTTGACTTTGTGTACAACTACTCTCCCAACTAATGGCCAAGTGTAACCATACAACAAGTGTAGTCTAGTGGAAGTAAGTTGAATTTATGAACTCGGGATACATGTCTATGATTACTTCATGAAAAATTTGTTACCTAGCTAACAAGATTTGGTGCAAAGCAAACCGAGGATTGATTGGAATTCAGTTGAGAGAAGAACAATCGGGTGTGCTTCTCTCTAGCCCTATATTAGGTTAACTTCCCTAGCTTGCCCACTCAAGATGTATATCGCGGAAAGCTCTAAACTAGCTTGGACACCCTATACTAGTTATCCAAGCGCACTTAGATGAACTACCCGAATGGAGAGTTTCCACAACTGACAAACAGAACACCCAAGGCGTGCAATTCCGCTCTCACTAAATGATCTCAAGACAATACGACATTTTAGTCCAATATCACACTCGTTCAATTGACCCAAAACGAAGAATTGAAGTATGCTCTAATCAAGCTAATTGGATATTCTTTACCTTAGACTAATAGCTCAAATTTGAGAGTGTGATCAGTACCCAATCAATTTCATGATAATACGTCAATTCAATATATAATAAAGAGTGCAATCAAGCATAGGAATCATTTGGTAGTTTGGTTGCATACAGACTACCGCGTGTGGATAGAGTTGGTTTTGTAAGTTAGTCTGTTTGGTTATCGCCTTCTTGGCAGGTCTTGGACAAACAAAAAAGTACAATCAAGCATAGGAATCATTCAACATAAAATCATAACATACATGGATAGAAATCTACACATTCAATTTAGAATGGAGTCTACTCCATAGTGAGAAAAAAGATGAAATCACAAACTGAAGAAGTAAAAACAGCTTGTGGGAATGGATTCTTTTTCTTGAGCTCCAATCTGCTATCCTTGGACCTTGATGATGAATCTCGCCTCCAATTGAAGATTGAAGCCTCAAATCACCACCTAGGGCTCCTTGTTTGTCACTGTCTCTCTCTAGGAGGTTGTTGCCTGTTTCTCACTCTGAAATTCGTCTCTTAGAAATGGTTGCAGCTCCAATTTATACTCAAAAGTGCGCAAGTCACAATCGCACGTCATGGTGTGATACTGGGCAGTAAACCATGAAGTCGACCCAAATCGTACAGTATCAGTTACACATGTCACGGTCTCTGTTGTAAATGTCACGATTGAAATCGCGAATTCTGCAAATGCTTGCGACCTGTGGTTTTGCTCCTGAAACCTTGCAAATCTCATGGTCGCTTCTGTGGATGTCATGGTCTAGCCGTGACATCGGTACTCTGAATCGTGGCATCTGCAACTTCTTGTTCTTGTCCCGGTTATGATTCACAATGATCTGAAATATACTAAACCAAGTATAACCTAACGTGAAACGTGCTAAAGAACGATTAATATCAAGTCATTGATCAATGATAAAAGGTGTAAACATGTATAATTAAATCCCAAATCAAAGTTCTAACAGTCTGGGGAAATTTTTGTCATGTGGAGGTTTGTTTGTTATGTAGCCATAGTATAAGGGTTTGTTTGTTATGGAGCCATAGTATAAGGGTTTGTTTGTTATCTTCCCGTTGTACAGGACCTTGAATGACAATTAGTCCTAATCCAAACATAAAGATTGAGATAATGGTACTCGTTGGATAGATGAAAATATAAATCCTTCCAGAATTTTGGCGTGTGATTACGATAAATCGTAAAAAAGTGTTTCAAAGGTATACCAGCCGGATGTACATGAAGAAATGCACTCGAAATTAAATTGGGCGCCAACGCTATACAAATATAATCAAGTTACTCGTAAGAAGATACAACATTTAACTATTTAAGCTCCATTACATAAAAAAAAAAAATATTTGAAAGTGGAAGCGGAAGTTATAAAAGGAAAGTTAATCAAAGATGGGGAAACAACACTCTTGTGAATAATATTTGGCAAAAAAAAAAAAAAAAAAAAACTTGTGAATTTTAACTTGCTCTCCATGAATATCGATCAAAACTTGATCCCCATCTCCAACCATAGCAGCACGCATTTGCATCTCATATACCTACCGTTTTATTTGCCATTCTCACGCTGTTCATCTCTAACATCAAACAAGAAACAGAAGTCAGAAAGAGAGCAGCTCCTATATATATATATTATTGTTACTATTGCGATGGGAGCCTCCAGACACGAACAAAAGCATCCTCTCCTGAGCTGACCACGGTGCAATCGTCAGTAAATGCCAATCCGTATACTCCGCCTAGATGAGCCAATTTTATGGTTATACGGTTCGAAACCGGCTGCCCGATTTCGTAAATGATCACACATGTGTCCAGAGACCCAGTAGCCACAAATGTGCTATTAGGAGACCATGCAAGGCAGTTGATCCGTGCAGTGTGGTACAACATGTTATTCAGCTTAACCTACAACACCAACCAAACTCAAATGATTCAATCAAGGGAGCAATGTACAGCATAGAGTTGGAATACGGATGCTAACAACACTATACCTCTCGAGAAGAGCGGTCCCACACAACGGCTTCACGGTTCAAATCGGCCGAAGCAAACATGGACAAATCAGGAGAATAGCGGATTACATTGACTGCACCTCTATGTTTCTCAAGGACGGCTTCTTCAGCCAGGCTATCACCCGAGACAGAGTAGACGTGCAACTTCCCATCATTTCCACCAATGATGGCTTCGCTTCCGTCGGGTGTTATTGCACACACTGTGGCTGCAAAGTTGAGCTTAGTGGTCGACAGGACTTTCAGGCCATTGAGCAAAATAGCTGCTGATTCAGTTGATACCAAAGCCAACCCTGGTGAGTTCATGGCGAGACATAAGCCCAAGGGCTGGCTACCAACATCAACCGCCTCCACTGCCCCACATTCATCCCCTTGTAGAGCCATTCTATGCACCTACAATGTAACTGGTTGAGTTAAAACCTATGCATGCTACAATAGTACTTAAAAATGGCTCCAAGTTTGATCTTTGGGATGACAATAACCTGATTTTATAAAAAAAGAGACGAAAATGATCAAAATTTTCAAATTTTCGGACAAAATGGTATAGAGTGTTCAGTTTGACCATTTAGTTTAACACTCGGGCTAACCCTTCAAATAATTCCATAGTTAATACCAGCATTGGTTCCAGGTTGCAATGCCATCCTTCCTGACCTAGTAGCTCTCACCAATTTTTAGAGGCGGAAAAAGAGGTTGCTGATTTTAGACCTACTCCATTCTCCCTCTATGTTTTGGTGTGATTTCGTCCCAAGAATTTGAAATGGATGCCCCTTTCTTCACAATTCAGGTAATTTTCGTCTATTATGCCAATAAAAAGTTACAATAGATAACATATGGAAGTGTACCTTGTTGTCGAATCCGGATGTCATGATCTCATCTTTAGCAGCTGCCAAACACTTAATCTGGGAATTGCTCCCCCTCTGTAATCTACAAGCATAACCAATTCCCTGTATCCATTTGATGAGTTGGCCATCGTAGCTGCTTGTCAAAATCGTCTTCTGTTCATTTTCGAGCAGTGTCAATGCTGTGACATTCTTCATGTGCCCCGACAACAACACTGGAGCTTTATCAAGATCACTTGCAGAGAACAAGTTAATCGCTCCAGAAAGTGAAACAACAATGATATGATCGTTGAGCCAAAGGCATCCAACCAACATATCCTCAACTCCACCAGAACCAGGACACGTCAATGTCTTTACCACGGTCCCAGTCCCATCCTCGGAAATCTCCCATACTTTGGCAGACTTATCAGCCGAAGCTGTTAGCACCTGGATAACAATGGCACAACGATTAGGTGATGGTTGAGCTAAAATAGGACCGAGTTCAAATTGGATGCACCATTTAAGAGTTGTGGCTCAGACCCGCTTACTATCTGGGCTCCAGCTAACGGCGTATATGCTACCTGTATGAGCATTTTCATGGGACAACTCTCCAATGATTTCACCAGTCTTGCCATTGTAGACTAACCCTTTCTTGTCAGAGCTCACGGTAATGCACTTGCTGCCATCTGGTGAAAATCTAACACAATTCACAAAGTTGGAGTGCTGCCTGCGTCCATAGAACACATTGTTATCACAAATCTGAAGATATGGGTGTTCAAATATAAGTTAATTAACAAAGGAATTGTTAAGCAATTGAACCTGTGAGAGAGCATGAACTTAAACGGAGGGCCTTCATAGAAATTCACTACAAAATCCTCTCCACAACTAACTATACGGAACGGTCGAGTGGGCTTGAACGCACAACTCAACACCCGTTTTGAATGTCCATCGAATTCCCCCACGGTGCTTCCCGAATCCCACCTTCACCCACATTGCAGATCCAAAAATCAATTGCCCTGGAATCGATTGAATAGGAAGCAAAGCAAGCCGGAAAATTACGAGAAGAGGGGTAAAACTCACACGAAAGCACGTACAAAAGATTTACCCTTGCCGTCGCCGGAGACAACGATCCTCAGCTGATCGGGAGACCATTGCAGATCGTCGATTCGGCCAGAGAGGACCCGAAATTCGTTGTGGAGGACGAAGCCGTTGTGGACGCCCCAAATCCGGACGGTTCCGGAGGTGTCGGCGGATGCGATCCACTCCCCATTGGGGGAATAGCGAGCGATTGTGACAGGGTAGCCGTGCTCACCGTAGACGTCGACTTTCAGGGGCTTGTCAAGGTACCTGATAATGACGGAGCGGCCATTGGTGTAGAGAATGCTGTTGGATTTTGCATCGCCGGATATTAGAATTCCGCGCCCGCGCTCTGTCGATGGGGAAGATGCGTAGCTTTCTATGAGTTCTGCCATGAAGACGACGACGAAGAAAAAGCTTATGATGATGATGATGACGATGATGCGAGAAGAAGAGAGGGGAAATTGGGGGGAAATGTAAGGGAAGGAAGAGAATGTTTATCGCTGACAATTTTTTTGTTGTTGTTGTTATCGTTATTGTTATTTTTTTCTAACTTCGTCTTGGTTTGAAAAAGAGAGGAAAGTGGCGAAAGTGAGGGGGAGATTTTGGAACCGGTTGTCATGGGAACGGCTAGCTAATTGTACAATAGTTAGCACCGTTCTAATCAAGGGAAAAACTACTACTAGTTTGAATTAGTAGTAATTTAGCTTAGATGTTGTATTGATTTTATAATAATTCATAGTGATTTTTGCTAGTTATTACGGTGCTAACCCCTATAAGGGTTAGCACCTAATCCCATCCCGTTGTCATGCCTTCGGACTCAATCATTCTACGTTTTTATTTGGACAATGTCTATTTTTTATCCAAATCTTTTCAAAATTCTTTTATTTTATCCAAACCTATCAAAATTCTATTTATTATCCAAAGTTATTGTAACTTATCAAAGTCTGGGCATTCGTTCTGTTACCGTTACTTATTTCGTAAAAGAACTCCACGTATGCATCCATGTCAGCATCCACTCCGAAATGAAAAAAAATCTCTTATATCACTAAAGAAAATAATTAGAAATTTAAAAACTCCATAGCTCTGCAACTCCATCGATTCTTCTTCCTCCATTCTCCGCCTCTGCATCCGCCTCCACACCACAAAACCTATTTTCATTAAACCAACACCAACGCCCAACCCCACACGTCGTCGCCGTCGAAACTGGAAATCCAGATCTATGAATCGGAAGAACAAAAAATCAAAAGATGGGTTTTGGGGAATCGAGTTCGATGATGGGTTGGGAGCCGGAAAGGAGCAGAGATCGTGAGGATTGCTTGGACTGACGCTGACGTTGGTGCTGGTGCAGGAGGATTGGAGGAAGATGAAGAGGAGCAGGAAGCTTCTCTGATTGGGCTTTCGATTCCGACAACGACAACAAGGGGTTTCCCCATATGCCCCAGCAACGACGACGACGGCCAAATCGATCGAGATCGAGTCGTGCTCGGTGGAGATGTTTCACCGAATTTGGAGAAGCGCCGTTGAGGAGGAGGCCGACGGTGGCGACTGTAGTTGTGTAGCTTTAAATTAGGGTTTATGCTAATTTTCTCTTTCTCCCCTGTTTCCCTCTGTAGTACCGGAACGGGGGATTGTTTGTTTCCAGTTTTGTGATTTTTTGAAGATTGAGGAAGCAACAGCTGTTGTGGCGGCTTTTGTCGCAGCTGCGGCAGGGGAGAAATGGCGGAGCGGAGGGGAAGTCATTTTTAAATATTTATTTATTTATTTATTGATATTTATTTATTAAAAATAGTAAATTATAGTATTCTAACGGCCACGTGGGAAGCCAACTCATCATGGTCATGCTTAGTCAGCATCAATAACAGAAAAGTTGATAGAGAGTTAACGTTTGGATAATTATTAGGAATTCAATAGGTTTGGATAAAATAAAAGAATTTTGAAAAGATTTGGGTAAAAAATAGACATTGCCCTTTTTATTTTTCGTATTGGGCCGCAAAACGGAAGTTCAAAAGAAAAGTTTTCAGGTTGGCCCAACTTGCCCTTCACTCCATCTCCATTGGATACTAGCTTTAGCATACACATCAATGGTATTTGCTCAATTGCAAATCCTATATGGCACTCAATATGCAATTGCAAAAGAGACTGCAAAAGGGATTGCACCAATGTAGCGGGAACTTGCAAAAATACAAGCTTGCATTAAATAAAATTGAATATGCAAGCCACATAGGAAAATAAAAACAATAATTTATATTTTCTCTCTTGATTTATTTATTTTGTTTATTATAAAATAATTTAAACTCTCGTATATGCAATTGCAAGTGAATTGCATTGATGTAGGTGCAATGAAATAAAAGTGAGTTGGATTGCATAAAATTTAAGATGACAATAAAAAATGATATGCAATTAGTTTTGCAATTGCATTGATGTGAATAATCAGCATTGTACCTTCTAAAAAAACTTAGCTTTGTATCCATTCTGTTGGCCCGTTCGTTCTTTTATTATTTATTTATAATAATAATAAATAATAATATGTTTATTTATACATTTAAGTTTATTTTTATATCTAAAATTTCATTATATATCATTAGATTTTTTATGAAATAATTATAGTTTTCGTGTGTAACTTCAATATTGATAGCAAGTCTGGAATCTTGTGAGAAACCCTAATTCTCTAGCTGCCCGGGTTCTGAAGGCTCGTTATTTCCCCCAAAGTGACATTCTTCAAGAAGAAGTGGGACACAACCCAAGTTATACTTGGAAAGTATGATGGCAGCAAAAGAACTAGTGCATCAATGGATCAAATGGAAGATTAAGATGGATCAAAAGTACAGATTTGGGACGACCAATGGCTATTGGGGAACGAAGTAGTAAAGTTGGTTTCTACTAGAACACCAACTGCTCCAACAATGGTCTCTGAACTTATTGATCATGACCGAAGAGAATGGAAGGAAGCTATATTGCAAACTCACTTTGAAGCTCGAGACAGGAAACTTATTAGACAAATCTATGTCCCAAGGCAACAAACAGAGGATAAGAGAGTCTGGAGAGCTGAACGAAGGGGGATCTACTCGGTGAAAGCAACCTATTTCCAGTGGCAATAAAAGGAACAAAAGGAATTAGAACAAAGCTATACTCTAGTGAATTGGAATCAAGTTAGTGGACTCCAAATCTCACCTAAAGCAAAGGTTTTTGCTTGGAAGTTGATAAACAACGTTCTCCCGACGAGAGAAAATATTGTCAATAGAACAACAAGGCCAGGGTGCTGGAGGGCCTCTCTTTTGCCTTTGTAGGACGAGAATGCAATAGACCGGCCCATTTGATGGCCCACACTCTCTGCAACTGGGAAGAAGAAGAAGTCTAGCAGGGAAGACCTCTTGTGTTTTTAACTCCTTTGCTCATTGCTGATAGTAATCCACTTAATAAAAGCTATATAGATTCTTATTAAAAAAAAGAATAGATTTATGAAAATGTAATTTAGTAATTAGGCTAATTTATCAACCACACACTCATTGCTTAGTTAATAATTTATAGTTATGTAAACTATAGCTATTTGGATTGGGTGCAACCTCAGTAGCCTCACTAAAATTGAAGTCTCTTATTTAACAATACATTCAACTCTCATGTTAAAATTCCTTCAGTAACATCTAACTATAAAAAAATAAAACTATGTCACCTGTATAAAAAAACTCTTAGCTAAATCTATCACATACCCATATTGAAACAACTCAACGTTTATCTTATGAAATGTTCGGGGTTCTCTTATGCTCTTACATTGGATCACGTCCTCAACTTTTACAATATTTTTTGCCAAAATACCGCAATTACTAAAAGGAATTCACACAATACATCATTTACACTAAAATTTGCCGAAATACATCATTTGGGTTGTGTCGCTTCTCATAAAAACATCAAATTTAGTGAGACTACTACGGTTGCGCCTGTTCCACATGGATCAACACTACGTCAAGCGAACAACTTTCATTGATTGTGTAGTCCATGATTCAACACAAAACTCACGCTTGTGTAAAGTGATTAAGATTAATTGCAATGGAGTCGCAGTGTAGGGGTGAGCAACGAGATACGGGTATTTGGGTATATCCGTACCTGTCTCTTTTTTTAGGGTTACGAGTATCCAAATACCCATAAATTTTTTTTACGGGATGGGACTTGGGATAAAAAATCGCTACTTTGGGTACCAGCGGGTTACCCGTTACTACCTGTTTCGGTATTACGGGTACCCGTTATACCCATTAGTCCAAAAGACCAAAATCCAAGCCCACTCCAACCCCAACCTGCCTCTTGTTGCCCCATTCGATTTCCCAAATGGCCAAACCCAATGCCGAGCTAATTTCATTTTGTGGTATTAACCCTCATGTTCTTGCCGATGAAACTCAATTCCTCCTGACATCATATTATTAAGATTAAAAGTAAAGGAAACATAAAACACATAAGGAAACAACACAATTCCTATAAGAACTTTTAAGCTAAAAAAGGCACATAAAGCATATGCAATTGTAGTTGGTACCTGCATGAAAGTCGTCAATGGATTAGCAGAAGAAGCAAGAATGGAAAGAGTAGGCACAAGTATTTTAGTGGCTCATCTTACTCTCGTAGCATTAAGATAAATAATTGTTGCAAGATTAAACAGAAATGAAAGCATGAAGAAAAATCAAAGAGAAAGTTCCTTCGGGTTCTTTATATTTTCCGTGAGCTACAAGATTGGAACTCATATCTGCGCTAAATAAGAGGTATAAGATGGAAGCTAGCCGGATTGAATGGGTATTTACGGGTAGTATGCGTACCCGTTATCCGTCCCGTACGGGTAATGGGTATCCGTTAACTCGTCCGAATTTGGGACATGTGATGGAGATTGCTCTTCAAATGGGACTGGGTACCCGTTTCAAACGGGACGGGTATCCCGTCCCATCCCGTTGCCCACCTCCATCACGGTGTATGGTAATCGCATACAACTGGGATGTTGTAGGACAAGATTCCACAAAATAAATAACCTACCCCACCTTCAATTATGCATCCATTTCTTCCTACTCTAGCTTAAGAGAGAAAAAAAAGCAACATCTCCCCTTCCTCTCACTCTCTTAAACTTAAAATTTACCTCCTTCATTCGTCATCTCTCCACCATCTCCAACCCTTTACTCTCATAAAGTATGGGATTATAATTGTGACATGGTTATGTTTTACTAACTATGTTTTGTGTGTTATTAAGTTATGTGCTCAATAACTATGTTTTGTGTATGTTATAGACCATTGATTATGACTCGTAGAGGTCCACACTTAATCATGTGTTATCCTAATTTCATTGTTCTTCATTTATTGGGTGATGGCATGAAGCAAAAACATGCATTAGTTAGTCAAATCTCTATCGCAAGAGGCACATGCACGGGTAGAGAATGGCCTTAGAGGAAGGGATAGGTGACACGCTAAAACACAACACCAAACTGCGACCAAGTGTAATCTCAGCCCGAAAATGCAGTAAAGTGGCAAGTTGTATTTGTCAACCCGGGGTCTAGATCTACTGCCTACTCCGTGATGATTTATTATCTAGCAAACTAAGTTGATTGAATGTGTTTTTAAGCAAAAGCAGTAAGAAAGCAGGAAATGATTCGAAGTTCTTAAGCAGGAGAAGAGTCACTCGGGAATGAGTCCCCCTAGCTCCTTAGTTGTTGGGATTTTTAGTGGTGTGAATGGAAATAAAAGGGGAAAGTTTCAAGAGAGTCTCTTGAAGTACCATGTTGGTAAGATGTGGGAAGGCACGACCTCGAATTCGATCGATTTGATGTAATATGTGGTTAATCGGTTAAATTGGTTTGTGTACCAAACGGATCAAACCAAACCGAGTTGAACCAAATCGAACCGAACCGATGTGGCGGTTGGAATAACCAAACCGGTCCAACTACCATGGGCCGAACCGATGCAATGGTTCATTATTTCAAACGTGAACCAATGTGTTGGTTGGGGTGTAACCACCCATTTGAAGAGTCGCCTCCCTTCGTACGCACCCCTTCATTTTCTATAAATAGCACCTAACCCCCTTTGGTTTTCAATATATGTTTTTTTTCCCGGTACCAAAATTCTGCCAAAATCCAAAAACTAGATATCTGCATTCTTTTTCCAAAGAGAAAATCGAGTCAAGTGTGGTTCTCGCCGATTTGCTGCGTTCGATGGATTCCGGGGTTTGAGGTACCGCTACGCCGGAAAAGGTACGTCCTTGCTATCTTGGGAGGAATCATTCAATAACCTTGGGTACTTGAGGGGAATAAGATTCTTTGAGGAGAGATAGTGAATTCTATCGGCTAGGACGCTTGCATGTGTCTTTGCATGTTTTCTTAATCTTATGTGTTTGCTTGTGTTGCAAGAAAATAGTATACGTGAACAATTCCCCCAACATTAGTTAGGCCAAAGTTGTAATTACCTTTGGTTGATTTACCGTTGATTAAACTGCGGAAGATCCGACAGTAGCTTGGAATCTCTTAAGCTGACCAAGCCCTCTCAGACAGACTAACCAGTAGGCGACTAGCCTTCACAGGGATAAACTGCTGTGGCAATAAATACAGAACTCCACTACTAGAATTGGATTCCAGTACAAAGCAGTAAATCGATTAACTCTCATATAACCAATCTACTACTACTGATTGATGAAGCTCTAACAACCTAATCAGATTCTATCTATCTCAGGTTGCAGCAGAAATCAAGAAAAGATGATCAAGCTTCAATCGACTCAATGAATCATGCATCAATCGAGTAAAATCAATCACTATATCAATCCAAAGTCATTACAATCAAGATTCCTAACACATGGAACTAGGGTTCTTCATACCCAAGTGAGAGAAGGTTCTACTCCACAGAGAGAGAGAAGAAAACAGAAATCAGAGCAGTCATACTCATAAAGATGAGGATAATCTGCTCTAGGATGTTGATCTTCACTCCTAGGGATGCAATCTGGGCTTCAATGGTGAGAAATCCACTCCAAATAGCTCCTAGGGTTTGTTCTTCGCACTTTCTCTCTCTAAAACTATGGTTTTTGCTCAAAAAGTCGACCTCCCTTCCTTTGGCTTGAATCTGCTTCAAAAACCCGATTCTAGACGAAATACGGGCTGAATTACGGTCGTAATCATGGCCTGCCCGTATTTCACCCAAAACTCGCGTTTCACTTAACACTGATGAGGGGAATTACAGTCATCATTACCCAATTACTGCCAGTATTCGTGGAATTACTGCCGTAATTCATTCCGTTATTGCCCGTATTTTGCTATTCGACAGACATTCTCAGGGATTTGGCTCGGCATTACAATTACAATCAGGGCAGTGGCAATTACGCCCGTAATTGTGTAGGGGATGCCCGTATTTTGAATCTTGAATCGCCAACTGACCTCCAAATGACCCGAAACGTGCACCTATGCATCCCTTTACTCGATAGGACCTGAGATATGACAAAACAACACAACCTAGCGTAAAATAGGCCAAGGAACCACAAATTCGAGCTAAAATGGCCAGGAAACAAGAGTGCAAACATGTGCAATTACGACGCTATCAATAGGGCATCATAATAGATGATGCATATATGCCTCTTATTGAGGAGATTGTTTGCATGATTATCTAGAATCACTACCTAAACATTACTATACTTGCTTACATTGCTTTTCACTTACTTGTATTAGTAGTCTATGATCTCGAACTAGGGCACCTCAACACACTTCGTTTAGTTTTCATTGCATTACAACTTGATCGTATTATGTTAGGTCTGATTAGTTACTATCAAAAGACCTCGTGGAATACAACCCTAGAAATGCGTAGGATTTATAATTATATTTACTACATCAGGGACTATAAAGAATATGGTAGTGGTTAATATGGTTGTCCTATAGATTATGAAAGCTATGATGGTTATTCAGGTAGTGGCTATAGTGATCATGTTACACATAGAATTCATGTTGAGCCTGATGGCATACAATGGCTAGTGTATGATGATAGTGTTGCATATGGTCCAAATATTGATTTTGATGGTATATTATGGCCAATATGGGGTACATAATGGGAAAATATTAGATCATCTACACGATATGGACACGATGATCACTATGTGCACAAACCTCCTCCTCTGAATAATAGAGACATAAGGGGAGAGTCATTGAGCCTCCCTCAACTCACTACACAATGATCCCACAACATCCACTTTTTGCTCAATACAATGACCACATCTGTGATGTTCATTTTCCATAATTTTTGGAAATATTTTGCTTTTGGCTGAGCTTCAATGGAAAGGTCTTCCATATCTTTAAGTGTGACTGGAAAATTCAATTCTTTCATCTTGTGGGACAAGTCTATCTTTGTCAATTGACTCAATTGAAGCGGTTTCTTGGTCAATCGGAGATGGACTCGGTTGTTCTTATCCAGGGTCGGCAATTTTTCTGCAATCTTCCTTTGATAGTGTTTTCGGACAGTTGGGATCAACATTTTCTTCCTATTGGATGGCTAGAGTTGGACCCAACCAAACCTACTCAAATCGGTACAACTTGGTAGTCAATCAAAATGGTATGCTGTATAGTTCTTCAGTTGCACTTTCAAGAATAGTCGGGTTCCAGTGAGCATTAGTTCCATCTCGTTGTGACAACAAAAACTCTCGGATGAGAACCATATCGACTAAAGAGAATTAGACATTAAATGTGCATCGGGGGACTCTCAAGAAAGCACTGGAAAGCAATGGACTCATTGGTGGTGCTCTTATTATTTTTTCAAAAGATGATTCAAACTTTGAGCCTCAATTTCATGTTCTCGAACATGGCAACACATTTTGCATTTTGAAAATAAGGCTTCTTTTCCACATGGCTAAGAGCAAAAGTACATTGACTTCTCTATCTAAGTCTCATGTGGGGAAAATGATGGTTGAGAGGATGGAATAGTCTAAAAGGTGAAGCGTTGGACAATAGTCCGCTCTCTCAAGCAACAACTCCCAAAATGCACTCCCATCTCAACGACAGACGGGTTGCCACATATGTGAGGTACGAATGAAAGTCGAGGTCTCTTCACTTGCGAAGAGGCACTCTATGTCCTCTCATAAAAGTCCGCGAGGAGGAGCGGTGCAAGGAGAATGAGGTCTCCAAACACATACTCAAATGGCACTTCGAACCAAGAGAAAAGTCATTTGACGTCTTAACTCAAATACTATGCCTAGTGAGCACACTCATTTTTCAAAAGATTTTTCAAATTGAGCATATTTTTGAAAACAGTTTTTAGTTCAAGATTGGGGGGGGGGGGGGGGGGGGGTCCCTCATACATGTCATAACCGCTATAGTAAACAATATCAACACAACCAAGAAGAAATAGAAGTAAAACCCCTCATACAGTCATACGTCGGTAACCCTCTTAGTGCTATACTACTCCCTATAACGCACACCATCCCAATCATCTTACAATTCAAAGTACAATGAGTAGGTAGATGTATAGGACAAGGTGTTTAGAACCCTTAAATTTGAAAAGATTTTGGGTAATCAATAAGGTTCCAAACAAGTTCTATAAGTCATTCAAACTAGGGGGTGGGCAACCGGTTTGGTAAACCAGAACCGAACCAAACCGAAACTGAATAAAATCAAATCGAAATCGAATTAATGTTAGTCGGTTCGGAATTCGGAAGGAAAATATGGATAGTCCGGAAACCAGGGTTCTTTCAATTGAATTTCCGAATTTCCGATCGGAAAACCGAAATACTATAATTGCAAGCTCCAAATGGTGGGTTTTTTTTATGTTTGTAGTTGTTTTTAAACTTAAATATTTAAAATTTTTTATTACTTATGTGTTGTAAAGTTTGAATTTATCATTGATGATGCATATAATTGCATATTTACTGTTTATATTCGGGGTAAAAAATAATTTAAAACTGAGAAGATCCAAGTAGCTTAACAAATTCGGTTTTGTGTGAAAAGGGTTAATTGCATGATTGGTCACTGAAATTACAAAAAACATTCATATCTGGTCACTGGAAATATTTAAACCAATCTTGGTCACTCAAATTAGTTAAATGGTTCAAGTTTGGTCACTCTCCGTTAACTCTAGCTTACGTAGCAGTCAACTTTCATGGTTGACCGTTAAATATGTGACGTGGTAATTAAAAATTATTAAAAATAAAAAAATAAAATTTTATATTTTCCACCTCATTATTACATTCATTAAAAAATAAAAATAAAAAACCTAATTTCTTTTCTACACACCCCAAAACCTAATTTCTGCAAGCCCTGGCGTGTCTTCTTCGCCGACTCGTCGCTCCACTCCGCCTTCAACCTTGACACCTGCTTCGATTCCGGGCCGGCGTTCCCTCTCTGGTGGTCTCCGAAGTTCGAGCGGCGGATCGATTCCATGCTCCGCTCTGCCATCGCCTGGAGCGACGGAACCCTCTCCGAGATTCGCTCTCGTCACTACTCCGACCGAATCTCGCGGCCGAGAGGTAACGAAAGACGGTTTCTTTAAACCCTAGAAAAATTAATTTTCAATCGAATTTCTTAGATGATGATTTAGAGAAACGATTGGGATTGAATTGAATTGATTTTTTCCCCAGGTTCCCTAAGCTTCAATCTTCTTCCCAGCGTCTAGGGAATGTGCCAAACGAGTACCTCATGGCAGACATGGCTTGCCCTCTTGAAGAAGATTCGGAAAGCGCAACAATTGGGAAGTTCATGACAGGTATGAAGCACTTAGAGCTTCGATTCTCGAGGTTAACGACCAAAGGGATCGAATCGATCAGCGAAGGGTGCTTGAATTTGGAGTTCTTGGAATTGTCAGGGTGTGTTAATGTCAGGGGGACGTTGCGAGCTTGACTTTGAGCAGGTTGAGAAGTCGAATTCTGCATTTGCATGTCGTTGACTGGGCATTGAAAGGGGGTATGGGCATTGAGATTTGTTTGATGAGAGTTTTCAGACTGATGTATCTGCATCTATATGATGATTCTGGTGTAAAAGATGCCTGCTTTGTGAACTCTCTGCAGTTTTTTTGAACTTGCTCAGTTTCGCTGTTGGTTCTGGTTTTCGGGTACCTACAATCGTGAGTGATTTTCGTTTCGTATATCTGGTGATGGTGAGGTTGGGTCGGTTAGGGTTTTGGGGTGTGTAGAAAAGAAATTAGGTTTTTTATTTTTTAATGCATGTAATAATGAGGTGAAAAATATAATTTTTTATTTTTAATAATTTTTTAATTGCCACGTCACATATTTAATGGTCAACTATGAAAGTTGACTGCGACGTAAGCTAGAGTTAACGGAGAGTGACCAAACTTGAACCATTTAACTAATTTGAGTGATCAAGATTGGATTTAAATATTTCCAGTGACCAAACATGAACGTTTTTTGTAATTTCAGTGACCAATCATGCAATTAACCCGTGTGCAAAATGAACCAAACCGAATTATAATTCGGTTTAAACCAATCGAACCGAATTATAATTCGGTTTGAATTCGGTTTGAGGTTTGGGAGAATTCGGGGACCCGGTATTCATAATTTTGGTTCGGTCAAAATCGAACCGACCGAATGCCCACCCCTAGTTCAAACCACATAAAACTCATTCAATCGATAACATACACTACCACACATAAGTATAAACATCTTACATTCACAATCATAGAGAGGTCGCTAAACGATTACGTCATGTTCATCATGAACATTAAAAACATGCATGCACATCACCCCACACTTTAAAGACACATTGTCCTCAATGTGGGGGATTAAATTCGGGTTCACGAAGTGTTATCATTGGAGTTTTGCGGGTTGAAGTAGATTTACAAGTGTAGGTCTTGGTTTCCTGATATGTACACAACATTGAAGCACACAAGAAAAAGAGAGAATATTATGGGGCAAAAGGGCCATATATATAAGTCTAAAACTACTAGTTAATTAAAGTACTAAATATGAAATTAAAAATAAAAGCATAAAATAAACATTGTTCAAATTATAATAAGGAAAAGTAAAGAAAAGATATAAAAAACGACTCTGGTTGTTGACTCGCCTGTAGCGTCACACTATAAAGTGGCCAAGTGTAACCACCAACTAATGCGTAGTGTAGCGGGTTTAGCTTTATTTGTCAACCTGGTTCTTAGATGTGATGACTACTCCGTGAAATTCTTGTTATCTAGCTGTTTAACTGTAGTGAGGTTGTAACTAATCTAAGCAAACAAAAAGCAGTAAAAGTTGTGGTTCAAATTCGAGAGAGGTCACCCAAATATGGTTCCCCTTAGATTGTAGTTAAGCTGAGTTGTAATTCACCAAGTCCAGATTCAAGGGTAGTTATACTGTGGAAGGTTCTCAAACAGTCTGAAGTCTCGACTAAAGGTCTTCAGACCCTCTCAGTCTGAATACCCGGCATGCGACTAACTTCCGCCGGAGTAAACAAACTAAGGCCCTAATGTGAAAAACCTCCTCTACTAGAGTAAATACAGTACAGAGCAGTGAATTGACTCCTCGACTAAAGTAGTCAATTCACCACCTTCAGTTAAGGGTGCTCTATCAACCTAGGCATATACTCTCTTTCATCAGGATTCATGTAGTTCAGAAATCAGGCCTCAATTGAATATAATCAATATGAAAGAATCATGTACTTGGGTTCATACAACAAACCTAACATACAAATCTAGGGTTCTCCATACCCAGGTGAGAGAGGGAGTTTACTCCATAGAGAGAGAGAGAGAAGAGAAATCAGCTTCAAATGCAGAAATCATCTTCTGGAGGATAAGAATCAGCTTCTGGTTGTCAATCGGCGCTTCTCAATCTAGGTAAACTTGGAGAGTGGGTTTGTCACTTTCTCTCTCTAAAACTCTGTTTCAGCTCTCAAATTTTGAATCCCTTCTCCAAAACCCGAAATTGGGTTAAAACACAGCTATGCCCGATTACACGGCCAGACCACGCGGTCGTGTAAAATCCATCATGCCCGTGTAAATTCCGAAACACAGCGTTGCACTTAGTTGGTCGAGGGAATCACACGACCGTGAAAAAATCGGTCTTGCCCCTGCAATTCTCTGGAAAACTTACACGGCCAAAGAGCGCCCTTGCAAAACTCGTACGACTCCTGGCTGTGTAAAACCTGTCGCATGGCCACAACACACAGCCGTGTAGAATCAATTCTTGCCTGTGTAAATGCCCCAGCTTCTCGTTGAACATCCTAACTTCATCCAATCGACCCCGAACTCGTGCCCAAACCTTCAATCACGAATTAGGATATGAAATATCACTAACAAGAGCAACCTAGCGTGAAATCGGTTTAAAACACAAGAAATGAGCCTCAAACAATATAAAAATTATGGAGAAAATACCTGCCAATATCGAGTCATCAGTTGCCTTGTACTCAATCCTCCTTGGAGGATCCTTCATCATCTCCGGTGGTATATGGTTATGGGGAAGAGGAGCGAGCTAAGGTAGGAGTGATGTCTGCTAGAGGGATCTCCATCTTCTCCATTATTGCATGTAGATATGTAGTGATATGTTGTCTCGACTCGTTCTCCCTCCTTTGATTCTTGAGAACTACCACTATCAATGCTCGAGTGTGGAGATCTCTTGCTCTATTAGTTGTTGAAGTGGCCGGTTGGTGGGTAGGATGTTGCGTTGAAGTCACTTTCTTCTCATCCCTCTTCATCCATGACCTTTGCTCCTCTTGTCGTATGTCGAGAAATCTTCACTGGGAATCGGAACACCACACCATCTATTTCCAAGGTGTTGGTAATGGGAAAATGGTAGGCATTGGACTCCCCAAATATCATCCTCTCTTAGATTTAGGACCTTGATGTGCGATTTCAGAGTGTCAAAAGGGATGGCGATTGTCCTAGAATCCAATCGAAACTCGACATCCGAGAAGTCGGCTCTTAAGCATCGAGCAATGCGGGTGATACTTCTCCATGCAATGTGGCTAGTCGATGAACCTTCCGTACCTTTTCAATGTGTAAAGGATGGAAAGACTAAGATGAAGAGATGGGAGGCTATGCATACTATAGTGGAAGGTGACATCTTGGGCTGTCAAGTTGCCCTTGCTTTTGCACTTGCCATCCACGGACCTTGCGAGCATGTGATGGATTCAACCTGCCTTCGGACTTCACTTGCTTGCTTTGGATAACTTGATGTCCCATTGCACCTATCTGCATTAGGTCGATATGTCGATGGTCACGCACGTGCCGCCCTAACATCACCTAGGTGGGCATCCTAATTGGCAGAGGATGGTCACCTCCACCACCAATTAGGCTCTTAGATCATTCATCTACATTAACATGCCAAACCGCTCAAACCCACAACCTCCTCAATCAAACCTTAATTAGGCATGCAATCAAATATAGCATATGGAGAGATAAGTTCAAAGCATAATTAACATAGATAAATGCACAAAAATACTAGGCAAACACATTTCATTCACAAACCCTAACAAAATTCCTTATACATAATAAAAAGTAAAACTAGGGTTTGGGGAACTAAGCCCCTGGTACCTTGAGTAACTACCTCATTGGGGGGGGGGGGGGGGGATATATGGAATAATGGGGAAGAAAACTAAAGATGGAGAATTTGGGAAGAATCCTTTCCTTCTTGGTTCCTCCTTCCCTTCGTCTCCTTCCTTCAACTTCTCTCTTTAAGCTCTCTCTAAAACTATAAATTTAACCAAGTGTCTAACCTCTCTTTGCAAAGGGGAAGGGTCTTCTAGTTATAGACTTCAGGAGGACGGACAAGTTCGCGGTTGAAGGCTAGGAGATCGCGGTCGTGAACTTCAAGGGTGACTATGAGGCCGCGATCTTGAAACACAACATTTTCACTCTGCTAGCTCGAGAGTTCGCGGCCTAACCTCACAGTCGCGATCCGAAAATCACTGCCGCGATCTTTCTTGCAGTCTTGGACAACGGAGGTTGCGAGTCGATTATCGAAATCTTCTGTCCATTCCTTGGCTGCTGCTTCCTTAAGTTCACGGTTGGCACCTTCAAAGGCTGCAATCTTCTGCTTGATTTGCGGCTCCTCTTCTCGACCGTGATCTCTACCCTTCTACCATGACTACTTGTTTTGCTCCTTTTCCTACACTTGTGCCCCATTTTTGTGCCTAAAAGTATCATCTAATACACCCTAATGTGACATGAAATACACAGAGAAATGAATTCAAGATGCATTTGATGATATAAAAACCATTGAGACCATAGAATGACCAGAAAATAGCTAAATATAGAGGCTAAATAACATTGGTTTGGATGTTATCAACTGTTGGATGTCATTTTTAATATTAGTTTTCACAAATGAAAAGGCCATGGTGCAAATTAGTTTGTTCATATTGGATTTTTTTTGTAATAATAACATATTTGTTATGATTATTTCTTTGTGTAGGTTACTGGTATGACATGAACTAAGAACACATCTATAAGACAGTTAAGCTTAAAAAACAAACGAAAGAGCAACCAAAAGTTGAGAAAAATAACGAGGATAGGCAGAATCATATGTGCAGTATGTCATAAGTGTAAAAAATGTTGAAAATAAGAGTTGTACTTTTATGATCCCCGAGAACGATAATGTAAAGCGATATCAATTGATTGCAAGACGTTAATGATTACATTGGAAGTTAGTGTAAGAGGCCATGATTTTCTAGTTATGAACCCTGATGTGAAAAGTGATTCTTTTTTTATTAAAAGATTGCTCGTATTGCCGAGGAAAATAGCCAGATACAAGAGAGTTCAAATGACCAAAAACAACCAAACAGCCAAATCGAACCCAACAAAAGAAGGGAATAATGAAAGGGCTTTTCGTGCCACCAAATGGGCAACCCTATTACAACGACGACCAACAAATTGAATTGAGATATACGTGAAGGATTGATGAAGCACCATTATCTCCTCGAGAATCCTCCCCCCACGGGTATCAGCGATCTTTCCTGCCACGAGCTTGTCGATGACGACCTTAGTATCCCCCGCAAAATGGACCGTCGTCAAGCCCCGTGCAATACACCACTGCATCTCATCCCGGAAAGCCAACCGCTCCACAAGGAACGGATCATCAATGAACTCATATATGAAAAGTGATTCGTTAATAAAAATATTATAAATTAATAATAATGTTATCAAACCGTATGATCATGTAGCATAACTTCAATGATTTCTTCATAAACGTTGACGACGAAAATGTAAATCGGTAACAATTTATCCAAAATCGTTAATAATGTAACCGCAAAGCAAGAATCAACATATATATTGAAATCATTTATAATGATGATATATTTCAATATAATTTATCTCATATGATAATGCGATTTTCGTTATGAAGAGGGCATCCTATCCTATCATCTATGCTTTCAACGAAGTATCGCTTGCGTGCTTCTGATTCATTCACGGAAATAATAAATAAAAAAATAAAAATGAAAAAGATGGAAGATGGAAGATTTGGGCAACAATTTGGGGGTTAGATGTGCAATCAGTAAACATTTAGGGAATAATTATGCCCCAAAAAAATCTGAATAAACGGGCAATTAAGTGGTGTGTGGGAGGAAAGCGTGGAGGGACTCGATTCAATACATAGGAAAAGTAGAAATCGACAAAAAAAAAAAAAAAAAAGCCCCCAGCTCCTTCCTTCCTCGTCAGTACTCACCCACTGTATTTAGTCACCTCAGTGATGAACCTAGGATTTTAGGATAGGTGTGTAGACCCATAAAAATTAGTTAAAAATAAAAATCAAACAACTAAAATAATTAATTTAATTAAAAATTAATAAAAAAATTTATTCATAAAGTTCACCAAATTCAATGTTTTTTATAATGAACCATGATACCATGATGAATTTTCATATTCTGAAAGATTTCTTAATTACATTTGTCCTTGAGGTTGTAAATCTACCCTTTTTATTTTTATGTAAACAACTAAACAATTATTCATAAATTTGTCACTCAATACTCAACTGATAACAAATATATTCTTGATTAAGCTATATATGAAAAATGTCATTTTGTATAAGCTTGCAGTTGCAAGAGGTAAAGTAAACACTATTTTAACATGAGAAAGCTGGAATGGGAAGGTTGAAGGGTGGCCACAACCATAAGCGTCAAAGTGGAAGTTTGAATGAGAATGAGGATGTCGCCAACATCGACAATTGGAGGGTGGCGACAATACGTCAACGTGGAAATCAATAAATAAACTAGAGAGTAAGTTGGGAATTAATTTAAAGAGAAATCTATGGAAGAAGCTACGGGTAAAGACGACATGAAATTCACTATCTAATTACTTGACTCAGCTAGCTTATTAATCAATTTAATTCTCATTCAAATTACTAAGGTTATCTATAAGGTGAGAGCTATCTCTCTGAATATTCACTACGTAGTAAGTAGCCAATTAATTGTTTAATCTTGTACAACCAACTACCTAACTATAACTACGTAGTGAAGTACAATAATTCCTATATTTACATATTTTAATAACATTATGACAACAAAAATTTAGTTAAGTAGCCAATTAATTGTTTAATCTTGTACAACCAACTACCTAACTATAACTACGTAGTGAAGTACAATAATTCCTATATTTACATATTTTAATAACATTATGACAACAAAAATTTAGTTGTAATAAGGTGTGTCGGTTATAACTATCCAAAGTGTGTCAGAGGTCTCATGTTCCAATTTTTTACACCGAAAAGATATGAGTTCCTCACAAAAATTTCGGACCAAAGTGTGTCGAGTGACACACCTCACTTAGAGTGGGTCCGCCCCTCACCTCCCCTTCCGCTGCATGTGTCCCCCCCTTCCCCTCTTGTCCTTTTATTCCGCTCACCACACAAACCCAATTCAAACCTCCGAATCCGATTCAGCTCTCAAGCTAAAAACACTATTATTCAACATCTTCTCGATTTCTTCTTCTCTCTCGGAAGGATCGATGGGGGCGAGCTTGATGCTGTTTTACGGGTTTGTGCTACTGCTCGTTGCGGGAACATGCACGGCGGCCACCATCGGCGGCGACGAGATGCTTCTGGACACCTCCAGATTGAAGATGTTTGTGGATGAGGTTCCAGAGATGCCGACGATTCGCGGCTACAGAGTCGTCAATGGCTCCTACGAATCAGCGGCCCTCAAGATCGGCATGTTTCGCAAGGACTGGGTAAACGTTTCTCTTCTTTCTCTCTCTCTCTATCTACCTACCTGCTCTCCATTGCGCTCTCCCCGCGCCCTTCTTTTACGGCATTTCTTCTGGAGTTTGGGATTTCAGTTGCCATTTTTGTCTATTTTTCTCCATTTTTATGAGGGTATACTTTCATCTCAGCTTGAAATGAACACAGAGTAATTGGGTACGGAAAGTAAGTTTAATTTATCGTTCCATTTTTATCGAATGTCGCCGAAGGAACACGGAAAAGTAATTTTAATTCCATTGTCCACATTAGGGAAACAAATCTCCGACTGCTCAGCAGAATTTTAATTAACCTCTGGGTTCTGCCAACCAAATTTCTAATTAGTAATTAGTTAATTATCTTCTGATTATTATTATTCTTATTACGGAGGGTTGTTAATACGAAGGTAGGTGATGATTGAGGTGATCTGAACCGGTTTAATTTCATTCCCTCTCCTATCACTGAATCATTTTATTTTATGTTTACTATTATATATTTTCCTTCCTACTTTAGTCACCTGCCTTCTTTTGGCGTTTCTCTTGGGTCTTTTTTTCCACCCTCACGTTCCACCACACATTAAATCACATATGGACACATTCCTTGGGCACTGCTGATTCTTTGTCACAAGCAACATCTTGGGTTTGTTCCTATATATGCTTAGATGTCTGAAATTCCTAGGCTAGAAGAAAGCTCTATAAATGAGAGGCCCCGGTTTTCTCAGAATCCAAAGTTAAGTAAGGAGTTGACGAGGGAATCGAATAATATGCTGTTGTGTTGCCGTATCAATAAGCACTTGCAAAACTTTTTACTAGAATACTTTTAGTGGTTCTCTGAATGCATGTAAACTTTTTAACAATAGGAAAATAGCTTAGTTTATACTAGTTCACAACTCACAAGTGTGTACGCACTAGTGTCACTCACTACTTTGGAGCTAATCCTCTTCCACTTTCTGCACCTTTCTTTATAGAATGTATTAACTATGGATGAAGTTGAAGATATGCTTTCCCTCAAAAGGTTATCTTTATTAATAACCAGTCTGTGGAAAAAGATATTCCCTTTCTGGAGTGCAGAAAATAATTCCATCTAGAAACAAGACACCAGAAATCATGGGTTACTTTATAACTCAGATCATGGGTTATTTGATGAAAGTTTGGATGTGATATAGTTTGGTACCAAATGTATCAAGAATTCATTTCATTGTAAAATGAATTACCGTATATAATTCATTGTCAAATGAAATCTTGTGTTTGGTATGTCATATTCAAATCTTTAAAAATATAATGAATTGTTGTGTAGAATTTATTATCAATTGAATTCATGTGTTTGGTATGTCATATATATAAGTAATTTAGTGAATAAAGAGGATAATTATGTTATTCTATTATAACTAGTAAATAGCCGTGGAATTCATTTGGAAATTCCATCTCAATTCCTCGGAATTGCTATAACTTGTACCAATTCCATAGAATTCAAAATTTAGAATTGAAAATGAATTCTTTTAAATACCAAACACAAAAATGTTTCATTTCAAAATAAATTCGGCAAAACTCATGGAATTCATTTATATCTAACGGTATGTTAATTTCATATAATATCACTTAGTTATGAAATTCATATTTAATTCGCCCATCTTAAATAATACGGAAAGTGGACATATTCCAACTCTTCAAATATAACATTCGTAGAAATTGGAAAAAAAAATCCACATAATCCTTATCTTTTTTTAATCCCCACATAATTTATCCTACAATTGTTTTGATTATCATCACCTCTTACTGAGATTAAGTGGGACTGCCGCACTAACTCCTTAAGTGGATCGAACTTAATGTCAATTATGACCATGCTACACTATTTCAGGTTGTTCACTAATTATTTCGATTTGCCAGAATATGTAGGATGACAACAACCACCGAGACTAGTCTGGGCATCATGTCCCAAATTAATATCTTTATTTCCATCTGCTTCTAAAGTCCGTGTTTGTGGCTAATTAGAGACGAGCTTTTTCCCAAAGGGATAACACGCTTTGTTTTATTTTTATTTATATTAACGGCGACAGTTGCTTAGCTTAATAGCATTCCAGCCTGTCTGGTTTTTCGACTTTAACGATGATTTTTCCATTCAACGTTTTGTTTGTCGTTTACTATCGTTTGCAGAAATTCCACAGAGACCTCCCTCCGACACCAGTCTTCGCCTACGGTACATCCAAGCACACCGCAACAGTCCCCGGCCCGACAATCGAGGCCATCGGAGGCGTCTCCACCCACGTGACGTGGACGAATCACCTCCCTCCGAGCCACATCCTCCCGTGGGACCCTACCATCCCGACGGCCATGCCTGTTGCAAAGAAGGGCATTCCTACGGTAGTGCACCTCCACGGTATGATCGGTGGACCCGAGAGCGACGGGCACGCTCACTCGTGGTTCACCAATGGATTCCGAGAGACGGGACCCACTTGGACGACCAAAACTTACCACTACCCGAACGTTCAGCACCCGGGGAGCCTCTGGTACCACGATCACGCCATGGGATTGACACGTGTCAACTTACTGGCCGGTTTGATCGGAGCCTACGTCATCCGGGACCCAAAGACCGAATCCGAGCTCCGACTACCCTCCGGCAACGAGTTCCATCGACGGCTGGTTATTTTCGATCGCAGCTTCCTCACCAATGGTTCCATATACATGAACTCCACCGGAAACAACCCCGACATTCACCCGCAGTGGCAGCCGGAGTATTTTGGGGACGCGATCATCGTCAACGGGAAGGCGTGGCCGCGAATGTCAGTACGGCGTCGCAAGTACCGGTTCACGATCATCAACGCCAGCAACGCCAGATTCTTCAGGCTGTTCTTCAGGAACGGGTTGAGATTAATCCACGTGGCAGCTGACTCAGCTTATTTGGAGAAGCCGGTGGTGGCCACCCACACCTTATTGGCTCCGTCCGAGATTATCGACTTCGTGGTTGACTTCTCATACTCGAGATCGGACTCGGTCATTCTAGCCAACGACGCGCCGTATCCGTACCCGTCCGGGGATCCCGTGAACGACGCCAACAGCGTGGTGATGAAGTTCAACATTCGAAAAGAACGGGAGTACGACACGTGGCGGGTGCCGAGGACGCTGATCAAGTACCCGTCCCCGAATGTATCCGGCGCGGTGAGGTCACGGTACATTGCGATGTACGAGTATGCAAGCGCAGCGGACGAGCCGACGCATCTCTACATCAACGGCAGATCGTTCGAGGCGCCGGTGACCGAGATGGCGAAAGTGGGGACCAGTGAGGTGTGGTACGTGATTAACCTGACGGAGGACAACCATCCTTTGCACGTCCATTTGGGGCTGTTTACGGTGATGGAGCAGACGGAGCTGGTGAACGCGGAGGAATTCAAAGAGTGCATGAACAAGTTGAACGACGCGATGAGGTGCCACGTGGAGAGGTACGCCCGCGGGAAGAAGATCAGAGTGCTTCCCCATGAGAAGGGGTGGAAGAACGTGTACAAGATGATGCCCGGGTTTGTGACCAAAATTTTGGTGAGATTTGCTTACATACATTCCACTCAGCCCTACGTGTTCAATGCCACTGCGGAGCCTGGTTACGTGTACCATTGCCACGTAAGTTTCCATTACACTTTTCTGTTTAATCTGGTTCGCCACTGGCGTTCGAGGGTCATGACTAGTTTCAAATGTATGATTATCATGGTCCATGAAATCGTATCGTATCGGCGGTTCAAACAAAAAATACCAGTATCGGAGGCTAAACCGGTAGGCGGTATTTAACGGTATTAACGATTGAACTACGGTTAAACCACGGTTTTGCCATAAAATACCCTACCGCTGACTTTTCCGGTACGATTTCATGGACCATGATGATTATATTATGTATACGACCGCAACATTGTTCTGTAGACTACTTAATCAACGTGGAAGCAGCAGGTTATATAATAAGGGCTTAATCATAATGAAAAGAAGATTATATGTTAGTTATCTTTTTGGTTTGGCAGATATTGGACCACGAAGACAACGTTATGATGCGACCACTGAAATTAGTGGTTTGAGGAGGAGCACAAGGTGGTGATGGGCGAACAGAGCACAATACTTGGCTATTTGTGGGTTGTGCATAAATTTTCTTCTGGCTTAATCAGTGTATAGTAGAAAAACGCTACGCAAAAATAAGGTAAAGTACAATTGTGGGGTGGCTAATTTACTGATGTTTATTGTAGAGTTAAGAACTGCTATGCTTGAATATTGTTTCGGAGCTTCTCTTATGCTGCAGAGCTTTCAATTTTTGTTATTATTTTCTTTAAATATATGCATCCTGATTGTTTACGTAGAAGAGAACTCTACAAAAATGAGGTTGTCGTTGCGGCCGGAAATAGGAAAAACTCTTTCCGCGATTTTTTGGTACGGCTAAGTCAGTCTCTTACACTTTTAATTTGTCATAGATAACACCTTAAAAAGGTGTTATTAGCCGTTCTGATCTAGGGATTTTCATGTATTAATTTAGCGTAAATGAGCTCTAAATCTTGCACTATATCCTGTATTTGTTTTCTATTTCACATGGAATTGTTTAGGTGAAAAGTGTTGGGTTTAAGCAAGGTTGTAATGAATTAAGCAACAAGTGTAGGTTGGAGAGGAGGTAATGAATTAGGGCAAAAAGTGTAGGTTGGAGAAGAGGAGAAGTTCACAGACAGAAGGAAGAGATCATCACGGTCAGGAAACCATGATCGTGATCTTAGTTTAGAGTTCCCAAGATGATCTGAATGATGCATTCATCTCTTAATAATAGGCTACTGTATTTTCCAGAGGATAATCTGAATGTATCTATGTATAATTGGCTAAAGATATTGTGTCGGTTGAGGTGACTTGAATCGGACTATCAGCCGCTATGACTGGAACTGGAAGTCACGGGGTCTCACTGTGTATGGGCTCAATGTTATTTGGGTTCGTGTTCTGGGCCTGGTAGTAACCGCTTTTCCTTTACCAGACTGGATTAGGGTTAGACCATGGAGAAGCATTATAAATACTTCTAATACTTCTCTGTAATCTGTATCTCATTGAAGTATAGTGAAATTGGCTCTCTTCTGCCTATGAACTAGCTAGTAGCTAACACACATTGTGTTGGCAAACAACATAAATAGTGTGTTGTGTGCTTTTTGTTTTTCGTTATTTCTTGCTTTGTCGAATCCTCTGATTTCTCGATCCGCAAAAACAATCGTGACAATTGGTGTCAGAGCGCCGGTTGGAAATCAGGCTTGAGATCGATTTTGAAGAATGACGTCGGTAAACATGAAGATCGAGAAGTTCACGGGGAAGAACAGTTTTGCTATATGACAGATCAAGATGCAGGTTTTATTGAACAACAAGGGTTGTGGGGGCCACTGTCTGCGAAACAGAAAAAGGCAGCGGTCGATAATGATGAGTGGAATACCCTGGAGGAGAAGGTACACTCGACCATCATGCTATGTTGTCTGATAACGTCATCATTGAAGTTGCTGCTGAGAAGACTGTCGTGGGCTTGTGGTTGAAGCTGGAGAGTCTGTACATGACTAAGTTTCTAACCAAAAAGGTGCATCTCAAGCAACGGTTGTTCAGCTTGAGGATTCAAAAATGTACGCCTTTGAGGAAACGTATCGAACAACTTAATTGTATTTTGTTGGATTTTCGCAATATAGATGTTAAGGTTGATGACGAAAATGCTGCACTAATCCTGATTGTTTCTTTGCCGAGTTCATATGAGAATTTCGTGGACTCTTTTATTGCTGACAAAGATTGCTTGTCGTTGGAGTATGTCAGATCTGCTCTTCACACGAGAGAGATTAGGCATAAGACATCCAGATTTCGTTGTATACACTATTAAATAAGTCTCTTTCAGTGTATCTCGCTAAACAAGCATTAGCAAACTGGTCGCCAAATCGACTTGGAAACTTGTTCTTAATATCACACAAAGTTGAAAATGTTCTTTTTACACTTGTAGTTGTAATTGGTAGAATCAAAACTAGTGAAATTGCCGTTGTCTCTAGACAATTTCTGGGTTGTAAGGGAAGGCATAAGGAAAAAAGAGATCTAATTAGGTCTTTGTTGCAATTGGAATTTCGTTTATAGTATAATAAATTAATTTTATGTCAACTTTTGAACAAACAATGAGTTGTGTTGTACTGACAAAATACTCTAATACTACCTATAAATGTTGTGTCCATCACCAATATAAATATATATGGTGTATTTTTATTCCTCCGAAATTTACCCCTATCCCAGGACAAGGCCCAACGGGCCTGCCTTCGCCTCTAAACAGACCATTCTAAGACACCCTAATGTTTGTGAATGATTAAAAAACTTAAATAATGGGGTTAATACCTTATTTTGATATGGACTATAGTCATATAATCAACTTAGACCCGTGGTTTCAGAAATTAACATTATGGCCGCAACTATGTAACATATAGACTCAATTGGCCCGACACATAGTTTGACAGTTAATTTGGATGGTCAACACCGTTGACCGTTAGTCAACATGCCATGTCATTGCTTCGCCAGCCTAAAAATCATTAAAAATTCAAATTATTTTCCTAATTATTATTATTTATTATCATCAAAAAAACAAAATTATAAAAACATAAAATAAATTTTATTTTTTTTCTAATTTGAAATGATAAATTTTATAAATTTAAAATAAATTATCAAATTATAAAATTTAAAATTTATTATATTTTTTAAATTTATAAAATTTAATTTGATAATTTTTGTTTAATTTATAAATTTTATCAGTTTCAAATATCCCAAATTTTTTTTAAAATTTGTTTTTTAGGTTAGTTTGAAAATGATAAAAAAAAATTTTAAATGATAAATAATAAAAATTAGAAAAAACATTTGAATTTGAATTTTTTTAATGATTTTTAAGCTAATGAGGCAATGACATGGCATGTTGACTAACGGTCAAACCATGTGTCGGGCCAATTGAGTCTATATGCTGTATAGATGAGGTCAGGATGTTAATTTCTGAAACCACAGGCCAAAGTTGATTATATGATCATAATTCGGTCCAAAATAAGATATTAACCCTAAATAATGAGTATCAGTTTCATACACTTCAAGAGTGTGTTCATTCATATAATCTCTCTACTGATTAACCACAAAACTCAGATCCATCTACAGAACAAAAGGAAGAAGCAGAAAATTAAATTCTTTTCGCTTTGAGGAATAAATGGAAAACAGAACCAAGAGAGTAATATATTACTATTAGCCTATTAGCACCTCCAGAGTTTATTATATATGCACTGCACGGCAGAATGATTTAAGGCCAATGGCCGCATAATAAATAATACTTGCCAGAGGAACGGCTTGAGTTTAAGTCTTTAAACATCATTTCTTAAAAAGAATCGTAAAGTCTTTTTATTGGCTGGTAGTGGATTAGTTAGTTGATGAGGTTAGTAGTTAATAGGTATTTAAGGGTAAATGGGGTATGCAAATATAATTGATATAATTAATTTATGATTCTCTTTCTCTCTCCTCCCATGATTTTCTCCATAACTCTCTCTACATTATAATTAAAAAAATATGAAATTAATTTTATTTAATATTTAATAAAATTCGAATTTAATAATTTTCTTTTTCTAAAATGGAAATTTGAAATTTAAAATATATATCTCTCTCATATCTTGGCAACTTCCGATTAGTATTAAGAAAATTGAATCATCATTAACATCTTAACATTTTGTAATGACATTATCAATATTTATAAATTGAATAATCATTAGGGCTTTTTGTTGCATGGGTTTGGAATTTTTCATTGTTAGGTATTCGTTTGTGTTGTTATTAATGTTATTCGACATGTTTTTTATTAATTTTGTATGACATTATTAACTTTTTATGTATTGTTTTGTTTGAAACATTAGCAAAAGTGGAATTGTGTTTTCAATTTGTTGGTACTTGAACTTTATTTACTATTACATCGTATTATCAATTTGGTTCACAATGATTTATAATCATTTGAAGTGCTATTATCAATGTTTTTTTTTTCAGGCACAATACAACCATTAGCAAAAATTTATTTCATTTGTAAGATTGCTTATGTTTAGTGATTTGAATTATTAATATTTTCGTTTATGTTTGTAACTTTGTCAAATGTCATTATCAAGAAGTCAACTTGTTAGGAATTCGTTTGTTTATGACATTAGCAAAAGTGAATTTACGTTTAATGATATAACTATGATTATTAAACTTTCAGTCTAAGTTAGTAACGTAGTTGGTGTTATTATTAATAGGTGTGTATAAGCATTATCAATGTTTGAAAAAGAAGATATTAATAATATCTAATAAGGTACTTAACAATCATTAGTTGCTATCCTTATCAACATTTTTGAATGCATTATCCATTAAACACATGTTACTTATTAATGTGTTTTAGTGCTATTTGACATTAAACATTGCATCTGAATATTATTAATAACTTTTTATTACAAAAATCTGTTTCCTTATCAATGACTTGATCATTCGATATTAATGGTTTTTAATATCTTTGTTAAAAGTTTGATGTCATTTATAATGTTGAAGTCGGACATTTTTAGATTGATGTTTTGTGTTTATTTTCAATGAAATACTTTTCGTTATCAATGATTTATTGTATTATTATTAAAAGTTTGGTGTTGAGGAGTGAATGTTGGTTTGCTTGAGCTAATATTTTTCTGGACAATGTTTGTTTGACTGAATCACACAGGTGCACTATATCACAACTCACAAGTACCCAAGATGTCGAAAATCAGTATTGTGCTTTATGATCATTGAGAATGATAATTTAAAGCGCGCAATATTAATTGATCATAAAACGTTAATAATGTCATTAGAAATCATTGGAAGAGGCCATGACTAGATAATTATAAACATGATGTGAAAATGTTAATCATTAGTACTAAAGATGTTGTAAATCAATGATATTGTTATTCAAATTGTTAATGACCATGTTACATAACTTTAATGATTCATTCATAGGCGTTCATGACGAAACTATAAAAAAGTAACAATTGATTCAAAATTGTTAAAAATGTAATTGTAAGGAATT